GTAATTAGTTTTTTTATTACAAAAAATATTTAAGTATTAAATTCACAAATTAGTAATATTATAAAAAATACCAATAGCAAGATAAATATCTAGTAAACTTTAATGAAAATTTAATTATTAGTAATTGGATCTGCTAAACAATTTTACCTAAGGTAATTTACTTTAACTAAAAGGCCTAAATTTCACTTTGAAATTACACTAAAATCTTCATATAAAATTTGTAAAAAAAATACTGTTAAATTCTTAAAAAAAAACATAGATCTTATTTGATAAAGTAAAAATGTTTATAAAAAATTATTAAAATAATAATCTTTACATTGGTAGTAAAAATTATAGTAAAATACAATTACTGAATCTATGCATTCTGCAATTTTAGTGATTGATTTATTCTTTTGCGTAACTTTTTAAGAGATGATGATGTGATCAGATCACGTGTAGTGAAAAATTATTTGTGAAACCAAAAATCATTTATAAATTGCTATCTTTCCTGTAAAAATAAATTGTCGATTCTTCCTATATTTGTGTTGTGTTTCTCTAAAAATGGAATCATCTTTAGTATTAGTGTGTGAACAGGCTGAACAGTCACAAGAAATTCTTTACCAAGGACTTCTTAGTTTTCTTCACAGAATGGCAAGGCTATGGATTCATATCGAGAAAAAGCCAAGAGCTGAAAAATTTTGTATTGCGAGGGGAAATCCAGAACTTGACGAAATTGACTTAAATGATATCAGCTCTCAACTTGTGCAATAGAAACCCTTAAAAATGTTCAACTAAGCAAACTTGATTTCTTTAGATACGGCGACCGTATTACGCCTCTTCTTCTGGATACCCTTATTAATACCTTGAATACAACTGGCACAGATCCTCTTGTTGTGCGTTATCCCTTATCTGACTCTCAAGGTAAATATTTTCAAAGTATTTTGTTACACTTACAGTATATGTCTTGTGTTCATGTTTTTCTTCTATCTGTAGTTATTGTTTGCTGCAATTTATTCATATCATTGTTCAAAGAAATTTATTTACACAACAGTGGTCTTTGGTACCTTATATGTAACAAAGTTAAAAAGAAATAAAAAACCCTGAATTCAGTGAACTCCCAATATTTTTTTGTGTATAGTCAAAATAAAAGAAAATCAAAGAGATAGAGATCAAGAACGAGTTTGCCTTAATAAAATAGTAGGAAAAATTACATCTTTAGAAGGCAGTGATGAACACGCAATTAGTCTTTCTATTCGAATTAGTGGTATTAATCATTGAATTATACTAAATATAGCAGTTACTGTATATAAATTCTCATTTACTGTATTTTCTTTCTTTTATAGGTAAGAAAGCATATGGTGACTAGGAAATAGGTGAAGTTCTCAAGAAATTTTTGCATCAGGAGGGATCTTTTATAGCCGATGTTCGTAAATTTAAAATAGGTATATTTTTTTATTTGAGTGGTCATGATTTGGTGCTGTGGTTTATGGTTTCTCATATGATTTTTTGTATCGCAGATGAGCTTTAAGACCTGGATCCTTCAATTACTAGAGAGGAGTTCAAATTACTTATTGATGAACTTGAGAAAAAGAGTTGTACTTTTAAATCTGTTGTTCGTAATGAATCAACCTGCCGAGAGTTCATTTCTGCTTTTATGACTACAGCTATAAAACATGTTCAATCAATAGAAGAAAGACTTGAGCTCAAAGCTGAAGAGTGGCTTGATAGAACCTATGACTATAAACCCACTGACTATGCTATTTACGTTGAGAGTATAATTGCATTAGTTGCAGAAGTTAAGAAAGAAGATTTCGAGAAAGGAGCCGCCTAGAACATTGTGCAAATGTGTAATGCTGTAGAAGTCAGAATATTATTATTTTTTTTTATTATCATGTGAAACTAATATTTTTTATAGGCATTAATAAGAAAGCGTAGGATAGATAAATAAATGATTATGATGGTAATATTCCAATTTTTATGTATGAAATTGTGACAAATGCATTATAATGGTATTTTATTCAATGGTCTAGCTCTCCAGAGGATCCAATAGTAGAAGTGTCTGGTCCACATCAATGTGAATTTGATAGTGAAAATATGGAACAAGCAAAGAAAATTGTTGGTTATATTACTTCTATTCTCATACAACAAGTCCGTAGTTTGAAAGATGACTCATCACGTTCTTGAATTAATAAGAGACGCTGTACATGATTATTTTACTTTGATTATAATTTGATACAGTAGCGGTCATAAGTATCCGACCGCCTCTAACTCCGGCTACAAGTAAGTAAATTCAAAATTTTTTTTTT